TGCCTAGAGAGCAGCTAATCCAGGCCTGTCCGCTGTGCCTCTTCCCACTAATGCCAAGGTGTGGCCTTGGGTGATGGCCTCTTCCCAGGCTTCCTGGGAGCTTCCAGATGTGAGAAGGGGCTCTGTCCTGGGCCCCTGAGTCCCCAGTGCTGCCTGGGGCCCTTTGTGCTGGGGGTCTCCATCTATCCCCAGCAGAAGCCAGGCTCCAACACCTCCACCTTCTTTCCATGCCCCAGGCCCTGGTCAATTTCTTCCATGCAGAGGGTCAGGGTTTGCCCCTAGAGAGCCTGAGGGATGGAAGCTACAAGGTAAGGTGGAAGCCTCTGTGGGGCGTGGTTCGGGGTGTAGACGAGGGGACTGAATTCAAACAGCACCCCGCATGAGCTGTGTCCTTGAGCATAAGGTGGCCCCGCTGGGTGCCCATGGGGAGTCAGGTCGCCAAGTGCCAGCGCTGACCACCACCACCCAGGGCCCCTCCCGACGCACTTCCCCCCACAGAGGCTGGAGGAGGAGCTGCGGCTTCACAAATGCTCCACCCGTGAGTGCATCGAGCAGTTCTACCTGGACAAGCTCAAACAGGTAGGGGCGCCGGGGCGGGGCACGGCCTCCGAGGCTCCCGCAGCCCTGCCTCGTGCCACGCTCACTAGCCTTTCCACAGAGGACCCTGGAGCAGAACCGGTTCGGGCGCCTGAGCGTCCGTTGCCATTACGAGGCGGCGGAGCAGCGGCTGGCCGTGGAGGTGCTGCACGCTGCCGACCTGCTCCCCCTGGACGCCAATGGTGAGGTGCAGTGGGGTCGGGTGGGGGCAGGATCGGGCCGGCCAGCTCACGACTATGCTCCTGCAGGCCTGAGTGACCCCTTTGTGATCGTGGAGCTGGGCCCACCACATCTCTTCCCACTGGTCCGCAGCCAGAGAACCCAGGTGAAGACCCGGACGCTGCACCCCGTATACGACGAGCTCTTCTACTTGTAAGTGTCCCCGGCCCTGGCCCCAGCCCCAGCCCCCGGGCTGCTGGAGCGAGGCTCCCCTGACTAGCCTGTCCACAGCTCCGTGCCTGCAGAGGCGTGCCGTCGCCGCGGGGCCTGCGTGCTCTTCACCGTGATGGACCACGACTGGCTGTCCACCAACGATTTTGCTGGGGAGGCAGCCCTCGGCCTCAGCAGTGTCAGCGGGGTCGCCCGGCCCCAGGTGGGCGGGGGTGCAAGGGCCGGGCAGCCTGTCACCCTGCACCTGTGCCGACCCAGAGCCCAGGGTGAGTGAGGGTCCAGGCGGGGGCGGGGCAGCGGGCAGCGGACCTGAGCCTGGCTCCCACACACCTGCCCACACCTGCTCGCAGTGAGGTCTGCGCTGAGGATGCTGGAAGGCCGCACCAGCAAGGAGGCACAGGACTTCGTGAAGAGGCTCAAGGAGCTGGAGAAGTGCATGGAGGCAGACCCCTGAGCCCGCCGGCCCTGCCCACCCCACTTCCCTGAGCCATCCTCTGCTCACCGTGGCCTGCTTTGTGCCGCCAGGGCCCATGCTGCCCCTCGTGTGCTGTGAGACGTGTGTTGTGCTGGCCCCGTGGCTCCCATGGCCCTGGCTATGTGATGTGCATGTCGTGGCTAGTCCTGGTGCTCCTGTCACCCTGGCCGTGTCCGTCTGCTGTGTGCTGTGAACCCCTGCACCCAACCCCACATCTGGGTGGCCGACTTGGCAGGAGCTGGCCAGCAGCTACCTAGGAGACAGTGCAGGCCAGAGTGGGCCTGGCCACCAGGTGGGCTTCCCTGCCCTTGGGCAGGCAAGGGCAGCTGCTCTCCAGGGACTCAGTGAGTGGCTGTGCTCGCTGGGAAACAGCAGGCAGAGTGCAGAGGCCCTTTCGGTAGTCATGGCTGAGGACTAAAGAGGGTGCCGCTGGCACCACTGGGTGGAGGGTCCAGAGCCTCCACTCACAGGGGACGTGGGAGCAGGCGAGCCCTGAAGTGCATGGGACTCCAGTCCCCACCAGGCTCTCAGGCCTAGGAGAGGTTCCCTGGGATCACTCTGCAGCTGGTGGTCAGTGTGAACGGCTCCATGCCAACTGGCCAGCCGTCCTTCACACACAGGCTCGTGGCTACCAGAGACCTGCTCCACAGCCCTTCCAGGCGAGGCCAAGAGTTGGCCCCAATGCCTCCTCAGGCCCAGGGTGAAAAACAGAGACTCACTCGGGGCTCCTCGGCCTGCAGCTTCATTGCAAGAGCGCTGAGGTGGGATGCAGAGTACGTCTGTCTGGAGGTGCGGGGAGGACCCGGACAGCTCAGTTCCACCGGCAGCCGCAAAGAGCCAAGACTGCCAGGCTCGCCTGTGTCCCCCATGTCTCTAGATTTTCTTGTCACCCAGCCTCAAAAATATATAAGTCTGTAATCCTCAGTCTCTCTGTCGCTTCTTGATTCCCTTCCAAACTTCGGCCGGGGGCCTGGCCTCAGCCCCCAGTCCCGGAGTCTGTTCCTCTTCAGAGCTGCTGCTGCCGGCTCCTCCATCCTCTGCGCCAGGCCCTGGGTCCTCCGACGCATCACTGTCATCAGTGTCCGAGGGCAGCCTGGGAGGGGAGGGGAGCACGTTCCTGAATGATGTCCCCCTGGCTACCAGAGGCAGCCTCGTCCACAGAAAGCCCCGAGCCGAGGACACATTCCTTTTTTGTTTTGTTTTGTTTTGGGACGGTCTTTTTGGGAGCAAAGACTGTGCGGTGGCACAGCCTCCACCTCCTGGGTTCAAACAGTTCTTCTGTCTCAGCCTACTGAGTAGTTGGGACTACAGGCACGAGCCACCACGCCCAGCTCATTTTTCTATTTTTAGTAGAGACAGGGTTTCACTACGTTGGCCAGGCTGGTCTTTAACTCCCGACCTCGTGATCCGTGCACCTCATCCTCCCAAAGCGCTCGGCTGACAGATTCCTCTCGCTCCCCGTGCTCTCCAAACCGAAGCCCCACAGTGGGACGTCTGCTCAGGTTTTCTAGTCAGAAGACCCCACCCCCACGCAGCAGGACGGCTCAGGCCGGAGGTAGAGGAGAGCCCTGGGTCTGAGTGATCATGAAATCAAGAAAACCAAGGACCTACCGGGTGCTGGCCACCGGCCTGTTGGGGTTTCCAAACTCTCTCCCTGAATCCACATCAAAGGGATCTGAATGAGAGAGGCAAGTGGCCTCTGAGCTCAGGGCAGGACCAGGCCTCCCATCGCCCAGGCTTTGGAGGGCCTCGCTCCCACCCGCCAGGCCTCACCGATCTCCTCCTCCTGGGGGTTCTCCTTGGCGCTGGCCAGGAACTCCTGCTCCACCTGCGACACCTCCTCCGGGCCACCGCAGGCTGCATACTTGTCCAAGAGCTGGCGGTTAAGATCCAAGAAACCCTTGCCCCATTTAAACTTCCGCAGCAAAATGACAGCGAGGTCCGGAAAGCCTGATGGTGTGGGACACGGGAAACCCAAAGAAGTTGCCGGTCCCCTGGGGTGTGTCCCCATCACCCTGCTGCCGTATGACGGCACTGTCCCAGGAACTGCAGGGTCCCCACCAAACACCAGCGCCGAGTCCTGAGAGCCAGCGCTGCCCCAGACCACACCTCTGCAGCCGACCCGATCCCCCTCCTTTGCTGTGAGACCCAAGCGTTCAGACCCAGACTGCACCACGATTCATCTGGGCCTCTTTAGATCAGCAATTCCGTGAGAAGGACATGGAGGATGAGGACTCTCAGGGCAGTGCTGTCATGATCATGAACGGTGCCCCACACGCCAGCCCTTTCTTCTCTACCGAAACTCCACAGGCCGAAAAGTGAGTGACAGTGGGATCGAAACCCTGGTGTGTCTGAATGGCGCCTCGTGGGGTCTGCCGGTACTCCGCTGCCAGGAGCACAGCAGGAACACCAGGCTGCCAGACAGGGCTGCTGTGGGGCCCCCAGCCTCACCTACAATGCAGAAGGTGGCAGCAAAAGCTTCCAAGCAGGAAAGTTTGCAGGGCCGGCCATAGTTCACAGGGTTGGCGGCCACCAGGTAGGGCAGCAGGCGCAAGTGGCTCCCTCGCATCTTCCCAAACGGGGTCTCATCTAGTCTGGCCCAGGAGCAGTCGATGACGGCGATCCCAGACTGTGCCACCAGCTGTCTGCCAGGGACAGCATGGGGTAAGTTCAGGAGCTGGCACTGCCCAAGGTGAAGTATGCCCCTGGAAAATGGCCTCGCTAGCGATTCAGGGACAACATTCCTCTATCCCCAGACACCCTCAAAGGGACTTCATGAGCAAGCTTTGGAGGCAGCTGCTTGGGGTACCTAGAGCATGTGTTTATTCACTCAACAAACGTTTATTACCCCAAAACCTTCTACATCCCAGGCTCTGGGCTATGGAATGGAGGCACACTGGACAGGGGGTGCCAGCCCACGTGGATGCGGGTGTGGGCGTGTGTATAACCCCCAAGTCCCAGTACACGAGCCCGGAAGGGAACCACGCGCTGGACAGTAAGACGAGCTAGGGCACGACCCTGCGCCTACCTGTCTGCGGGGGACACGTACTGCTTGCCCACGGGGCTGAGCACCAGGCCGCCGAACCTCCGGCCCAGGCGCAGGCAGCGCACCAGGCCCAGGCGGGCCAGCTTGCGGCCGGTGCAGCGCCGGGGGTCGCAGTGGCCCAGCTCCCACATGGCCAGCGCGCAGGGCAGCGTCGCTGGGCCCGGGTCGCCCTCGCCTTCGGCGGCCTCTGGCTCCACGGACGCTGCACGAGACAGAGAAGGGTACTCGGCCTCAGCGCGGGACCCCCGGGCCGGCCCTCGACCCCCGACCCGCTCTCCCCATCACGCCTCGCTCACATCGCAGCGCGGCGCCGACCTCCTCGGCGAAGGCCTCCAGGGAGCGGCTCGGGAGGCGCCGAGCGCGGCCGCCTTCCGCCCCCGGCCCCCGCGCTGCCCTCTTGCGGCCCATGGCGCGGATCTGGGGTACCGGAGATCCCCGCGGACGCGCCCCTCAGCCTCCCGGAGGGCCGTGCGGCTGCCTGCGCATGCGCCGGGAGCCACTTCCGGTTCTCGCGGTCACGTGACCGCCAGCCCACGTGACCTCGCGGCCCCTGCAGCGCGATGGCGGCGGGGCTGGCGCCCGTCTTGCTGCTCCTCGGGCTCTCTGCGCGTGGTGAGTGGCCGGGCCGCCCGCATCCCCAGGCCCCGCGCGCGCTCCGCACCCCGGCCTCCCCGCTCACTGTCTCGTTCCCCGTAGGGCCCGCGCCAGGAGGCGCCGCGAAGATGAAGGTGGTGGAGGAGCCCAACACGTTCGGGTGAGCAGCCTCGCTGGCGGGCGGTTCCCTGTGGGCGGCGGGCGGCCTGGGCCGGTTCCCCGCTGACCTCGCCGCCTCCCGTAGGGTGAACAACCCGTTCTTGCCCCAGGCCAGTCGCCTCCAGGCCAAGAGGGATCCTTCCCCCGTGTCTGGTGAGTGAGGGGCGCTGTCCGCGGGCGTGGGGTGGCCGCGGGGAGCAGGGGGCCGTCCTCGGTGCCTACCGCGGTGGATGGGTCAGCGCTCGGAGCCTGCGCGAGGGACTGGGGAAAGCTCTCTAGTTGGCAAGTAAAGCGATACAAAAGGAGAATGCATGAGGGATCCTGAGAGTTACGGCCTGGAGTCTCAAGCATTGGTTCGTCAGCCCTCAAAAATTAATGTTGAAGTGGGAGAGAATCTACCAGACGTTCTTGTACCGAATTAAGTTGTTTCCAAGCCGGGTGCAGTGGCTCGCCCCTGTAATCCCAGCGCTTTGGGAGGCCGAGGCGGGCGGATCACAAGGTCGGGAGTTCGAGAGCAGCCTGGCCCATACAGCGAAACTCCGTTTCCACTAAAAATACAAAAAAAAAAAAAAAAAAAAAAAAAAAAAAAAAAACTCAGCTGGGCGTAGTAGTGGGCGCCTGTAGTCCTAACTGTTTGGCACGCCGAGGCAGGAGAATGACTTGAGCCTGGGAGGGAGACGTTGCAGTGAGCCGAGATTGCAACACGCCACTGCACTCCAGCCTGGGTAACGGAGTGAGACTCGTCTCAAACAAACAAACAGCTCTCCCGGGGACGCTGTGTGCAGGCACTCAGAATGGTCCAGCGTTTGACATACCGGCGTAGGCTTTCCTACAATACGGTCTCTAACGAAACTAGGCTGTCCCGGACCCCTGGTAATAGAATTGTTTACCTTTATACCAAGCAGGTTGGGAAAGCACGAAAATCTGCATGTGGCGTGTGCCCAGGCAGGCTTCGAGGGGTTCGTGCTGTGAGACCTAAAGTTCTTATGAGAGTGTCCAAAACAAAGAAACATGCCAGCCCGGCCTGTGGTGGTTCCACGTGCGCTGAATGTGTTCGTGACGGGATCGAGCCTGTTTCCTGATCGAGGAGCAGAAACTCGTTGTGAAAGTGTTGAAGCCGTAGGCACAGAGTCAGAAAGCTGAATTAAAAGGGAAACTCTGAGTAATAAAAATGAAAAGACGGGCCGGGCGCGGTGGCTCAAGCCTGTAATCCCAGCACTTTGGGAGGCCGAGGTGGGTGGATCACGAGGTCGAGAGATCGAGACCATCCTGGTCAACATGGTGAAACCCCGTCTCAACTAAAAAAAAAAAAAAATTAGCTGGGCATGGTGGCGCGTGCCTGTAATCCCAGCTACTCAGGAGGCTGAGGCAGGAGAATCGCCTGAACCCAGGAGGCGGAGGTGGCGGTGAGCCGAGATGGCGCCATTGCACTCCAGCCTGGGTAACAAGAGAGGCACTCTGTCTCAAAAAAAAAAGTGAAACTTTTGACTAATAAAAATGAAAAGACTTAAAAAAAAAAAAGTTATCTTTAGACATAGTCCTTCCTTTCCAGGAGGTAATTGCTATTAACAGTCTGGTGACCTTGCAGGTGCGTTTCTGTGGTTTTACATGCTTACATATGCAACTGGAAAACGTGGTTTTTTTTGGTAATCTTTGTCTTTTTAAAAGGTCATACTGCGTATTTGGCTGATGTGTCCTTGTCACTCGCCGTATGTCTCGGGTCTCTTCATGGTGGTGATGTAGGTCTTCATTCATGGGTTCCCAGTAGGATATGGGATGGAACTGCATTTCCCGATGGGCAACTATCATATTGAGGTTTCCGTTTTTTTGACATTAGGAATAGTGCTGTGGAGAACATGCCGTGTGGATGCCTCTGTTCACCCCCATGTGAGTGGTTCCCCAAGGCAGTGTTTCAGAAGTGAATTTGTTGGGTCACGGGTATAGGATGTCTTTGAATGAGGCCGTGCGCCATGGCTTATGCCTGTCATCCCAGCAGTTTGGGAGGCCCAGGCGGACAGATGACAAGGTTAGGAGTTCGAGACCAGCCTGGCCAATATGGTGAAACTGTGTCTCTACTGGAAATACAAAACTCTGCTGGGCATGGTGGTGGGTGCGTGTAGTCCCAGCTACTCAGGCGGCTGAGGCAGGAGAATCCCTTGAACCCGGGAGGCAGAGGTTGCGGTGAGCCAAGATCACACCACTGCACTCCAGCCTGGGTGACAGAGTGAGACTCTGCCAAAGAAAAAAGAAGTCAAATGCTCAATGATGAAAAATGCCAGGTGGATATGTGAGGGAGAGTGGGGAGGGAGTGTATGTGTGTTATTGTTTTGGAAATTGCTTTTATTATTTTTTCCCTATTTTTCGTGACAGAGTTGCTCTGTCGCCAGGCCGTATTGCAGTGGTGTGACCTCAGCTCACTGGATCCTCCACCTCCTGGGCTCAAGCCGTTCTTCTGCCTCAGTCTCCCAAGTAGCTGGGACTACAGGCGGGCGCCACCACACCCAGCTAATTTTTTCTTTCTTTTTTGTATTTTTAGTAGAGGTGGGGTTTGATCATTTTGGCCAGGATGGTCTCAGTCTCTTGACCTTATGATCCGCCCACCTCAGCCTCCCCAAGTGCTGGGATTACAGGCATGAGCCACCGTGCCCGGCCTTATTTTTATTTTTTTTAGTGATGGGGCCTTGCTCTCTCACTTGGGCTGCGGAGCAGTAGTGCACCCCTTGAACTCCCGGGCTGGAGCAGTCCACCCACCTCAGCTTCCTGAGTAGCTGGGACTACAGGTGCATACCACCATGCCCTGCAGATTTTAAGTGTTTTTGTAGAGAAGGAAGTCTCACTGTTGCCCTGGCTGGTCCCAAACTCCCAGCCTCAAGGGATCCTCGTGCCTTGGCTGGGGATGGCTTTTAAGTTGGGCAGTCAGGAAAAGAAAGAAGGGACCCCTCAGCCAAAAGCTAAAAGAGAAAAGGGAGGCTGTGGCTGTTCGGGGAAAGGGATCCAGGACAGGGAGCGGCCACAGGTGATTCCCCTGCGGTAGTTAGAGATCAAGAGGTAAAGAGGATCAGATGATGCTGAACCTTATTTGTAGGTTTCACGGACTTTCACTCCAGACAAATCTTGTTAAGGTTTTGTTGTGTGGTTGGGCTCCCTTCCCTGCGGCTAAGAAGCCATGGGATGGTGGCATGCTCGGGGCCTGAAGTGCTGGAGTCGGAACACCATGTGTTCCAAGGACCTGGGAAGGAGGGCCGGCCACTAAGAGCAGTAGCCCACTGAACCCCTTCAGGAGGAGAGGGGCGCTCCTTGGGTAAGGGGACCACGACTTTTGGGAGGTGAAGGTCCTGGAAGGAAAACAGAATACGCTGGTCGTGGCAGTGCGTGCTTGTGGCCCCAGCTACTCGGGAGGCTGTGGTGTGAGGATCGCTTGAGCCCGGGAGTTCGAGACCAGCCTGGCCAACATGGTGGAAACCACCCCCACCCCCGACTAAAACAAAAAAAGTCAGCCAGGCATGGTGGTGAGCACTTGTACTCCCAGCTACTGGGGAGGCTGAGGAGCCCACCAGGTGGTACAGGTTGCAGTGAGCCGAGTTCACGCAGCTGCACTCGTCTGGGCGACAGAGCGGGACCTTGTCTGAAAATCCATGTACAAAAGCGTGCCTTTTGTGGCGTTCCCCAGTCCCACCCCCACATCAGGGCATCAGTTCACACGTGCATTTGCTTCACTGGGCCTCGTTACAGTTCTAATCTGGGAGTTCTCTCCCCACCTTTGGGTGTCAGTGGCACGTTTATTTCCCAGTCTTTTTGTTTTGTTGATGGTGTTTTTCTCCAGATCATGTTTTCGTGCACCTGCGGGGTCGGGCGTGTATATTCTAAGTGTTTTTCCTGTCTTGGACGTAGCACTCCTTCAGCATGAACGTGTGAAGGGATTGTGCCCAGTGGGTGGGAGAGTGTGGCCTGTGGAATGAGCTGAGCAGAAAGATCATCATGGGGAGAAACTCGTGGTCTAGGGCTGAGGATGTCCCAGCGGAAGAGCCTCTGCCACTTAAGAGGAAGCGGTGGGCTTGCCAGGGCTGATGCTGGTGGGGCGGGGCAGGGCTGGGCCGGGCCTCCATCAGGTGAGTCGGGAGCCACAGGAGGGGCAGAAGTTGGTAGGTCTGTGATTTGGAGTCGGTGTCCTGCTGTGGCATGGAGGGGGTGGGACGCGGGCAGTGTGATGGTCCTGCCAGAGCCCGGGACGCCGTCCAGGAGGGAGCTCCGGTGGTGGGAGGGAGCGGCCACCTGGCCGGGACCCCAGGGCTCTGGTAGGGTCCTGGGTCTGGGGAGGAGTGGAGTGGCCCCAGGATCGTGGCCAGAGAAGCTATGGAAAGTGGCTCTCCCATCAGGCTGAGAAGCACAGGGCCCAGCTGAGTTTTAAGAGGCAGGCTAGGTCTATGAGGCACTTCTGGGGCTTGGAGAGGGGTCATGGTGGGCACGAGACTCATCAGCGGTGGTGTGTGGACCCCAAGGGTGACGGTGAGGTCCCTGGTGAAGCTCTTGGTGGGGTGGGGTGTGCGGGTTGGGAAGTTGGCAGGGCACTGGGGTCAGGCCAGGGAGCAGAGTGGGAGGGAGGACCACCCTCAAGAAGGGCCTGTCACCCAGAGATGAGGCGTGGGGGTGTGGGAGCGTGCCTCCCTGCCTGCCTTGGTTTGACCAGGGCAGAGGGGCAGTAAGGAAGTCAGAGCCCAGCCAAGCTGATGGGGCCTTGAGGCGCTGTGGCCCTGGGCGCAGGGACAGCTGGTGGTATGGCCATGTGGGTGCGCAGGAGTCGAGGGCGCCGAGTGTCCTGGTTGTTCAGGCTGTGAGCGCAGAGCCTGCAGGTGACGTGCAGGTGAATAAGGAGCAGAGGGGGAGCCCGTCGGCAGGGGTGGAGGCTCCAGCCTGGATCTGGCTGTGTCTGGCTCCAGAGGAGTATACAGTGGATTTTTGCGGGAGGGGCCCACTCCCGCCCCCCCCAGTCTCAGGAGGGCATGCTGCTGGGGCCTGAGGGCCGGGCGGAGGGGATGGGCTGTGGCCAGGGTTGTGGTGCAGGCCAGGAGCCAAGGACCTGGGGCACTGCTGCTCTTGGGGGCTTGTGGTTACTGCCCTCTGCAGGAGGGTGTACGCCGGCCAGCGGGAGCACC